ATCATCATAGATATCATTCTCTATTTATTTCCGTCACTTTGGTGGGCGGCAACGATTTCGTTCCTTATTTGAGCAGGAGTTTTTTGTTCGCACATCAAAAATGTTACAAGAATTACCACACGAACTTTTGGCATGCAGTGATAGTTCCTCTTTCAGAAGAGAGCTGAAAAAAAGGAGATTGAATGACTTTTTTTGCAGGTTCAACGTACCTTACTTCCCTTCTTTTATGACTGCGCGGTTACAACCAGACATGTGCAATGAGCATGATGGGTTACGAATATGCACTGATTAGCAGCCAATTTATAACTTTGCATATGTTGAACTCAACTGCTTTTGAGCCTTTTACTAACACTGTTCTCTTCATCATGTGGTTCAAGCCTGGTCACATTTATATTTTAGCCTGTTTCGCACAGCTTGCTTGCTTTGATTGCTCGAAGATCATATTATGCTTATTCTTGCTTTGGAGTTGGGCTCTCCTCGGCAAACTGGTTGAACTATAAATTCCGGTTTGTTTCTTGGAAATCTTTTGAGATCGTGGCTAGCAAACGAAGGGGCATGGGCACCATCTCCTTAGATAACAATTTGTATAGATTCATTCGTTGTGCACTACTTGCCGATATTCTGATTTGCACATATGGCAATGCTCATGGAGTTTTGGGCTCTCCCCGGCAGGCCGGTGGGTATTACCCGCCGTCGTTTGCTTGTTTGAATACTTTAAGATCGTTTGCTGGCTAACGCGGGGGCATGGGTTCCATCTCTGTGGATATAACTCATAATTGACATTCGTAATATCCAGCAGTCTTCTTGCAAGCTAAGTCGTTATTCTTTAGTTTTATGAAGTCTGGGCCTGAAGCATATGATGTTCTATTGTTATTCGTGCTTTGTGTAAAACTAACAATTACACTGTTTGTTTCTGTTTTTTTATGGTACGCCTTGAGCGTATTTAATGAAAATGAAATGAAATGAAAAATTAATAGACTTTTTCAATTTACCTTCCATCCTTTTGCTGCAATCTGCAAGCAAAAAGATACAGAAATTATCCAAAACTCATCAATTCCTGTGGCAGCGGACGGGTGAACAGCTGATCAGCCGTATTCGACCCTGCGCCGTGGTCAAAACCGCTTCGCGGGAGAGCGTCTGAGGCTGCGTGCCCGCTACAACGGGGTGAAAGGACGATATGTATGGCCCGTAGTAAAGCTCGGTCACGGGAGATGATCTCCCCTGAGGCTCTCATATGAGGTTTTGTCGGGTGAGATGAGGACTGTCCGCGTTTCCGTAGTGTAAGTATGGAAGGTCACCCTACAGGTGAGCTTCAGATGAAGCCCGGCAGGGAGATCAGCTCCCGACCGAGTCATCGGAGATGAGCCGGGCGACTACGTTAGGTAAATACTGTGCTAAAGAGGAGAGCACAGAGAAATCATCCGTAAGTTGCTCACGAGTAACTTACGAAACATCGCAGCTGACGTTCTTTCGCGGTGCAAGACTCCCAAAACTGCACAATTTCGGGCGCCCGAGTGAGGATCGATGAACAGCTGATTGTGCGACGAAATGGAAAAAAAGGTTTTTTTGCATTTTTCTTGCAGATGTTGCTTGTTTTTGATAGTGAACCGCTTCAGATAAAAAGAAAGTGAATTTACCTTTCTACTCATTTTTCTCCAAGTGTAATTTTTCTTTGTATGAATGCCAAAATATTGCGTAATTGTTTTATCTCTTTGTTTGCTAGGTGAAATCTCTGATAGCGGCTATCATCGATTCTTTGGCAGCGGCCGTTATCAAAGGTCGCCAGCTAAGTAACAAAAACGGTGTCTCTAGCCGCACTCGAACCACGGCCTGCCGCTTGAAACGCATTATTCTTATCCATTTGACTACAGCTACACAAATGGCAGAAACGTTTCCACCTTTGAAAACGCGAACATCCAGTAAGTGATCTGCTCCAAATCAATCGCTCTCCTGGCAATGTGCTGAGGCGCGATGAGATCAACTCCGGCCCGCCGCAAGAGAGATGCCCTGATGGGGGTTTACTACGGGCCTATATGTTTCAGCAATAAATCGAAAAAACAGTTTTGGATACTTCTTTCAATCAGCTTGTGTCGTTGCCATATGTCATAAAAATAGGAAAGTAATAGGATTTCAGATATTAGTAGAAGATTCCCGACCAGTGGAGAACATCAAAAACCGTCCTTCTTTTCAAGAAGGGTGAACGGGAAGATCTTCGGAACTACCGTCCAATATGCCTGCTGAGTGTGCTGTACAAGCTTTTCACGAAGATTATCCTCGCTCGCATATCAAGGACACTGGATGAAGCCCAACCCCAAGAACAAGTTGGATTTCGCAAAGGATTCAGCTGCATGGACCACATCCAGACCGTTTCGAGGGTCATAGAAGTCTGCCGGGAGTACCGACTGCCTCTCGTCCTAACCTTTGTCGACTACGAGAAAGCCTTCGACAGCGTCGAAACCAACGCCATCCTGTCTGCGCTAGTCGATCAAGGAGTGGACCCAGCTTACGTGAGGACGTTAGCCGACTGCTACAAGGACTGTACAACGACGATGCAGCTATTCCATCGCCCCCTGACCATACCAATCGGGAAGGGGGTCCGACAAGGCGACACAATCTCGCCGAAGCTGTTCACCGCGGCCTTGCAGTGGGTGATGAAGTCACTGGACTGGGACGAGAGAGGCATACGAGTTGATGGGAGATTCCTGTCCAACCTTCGTTTTGCGGACGACATCGTTCTCTTCTCGAGCAGTATCACCGAAGCAGAGACGATGCTGAAGGAACTAAACGAAGTAGGGAAGAAGATCGGACTGCGAATAAATCGGAAGAAGACTCAGTTCATGAAGAACGCCCTTTGCGAAGATGCAGAAATGGAATTGGAAGGCACCCCGATTATGGAGACGTCTTCCTACGTGTATCTCGGACGTTCGATGAACATGGAGAACGACTTGAGGGAAGAACTTAACAGGAGAAGAAGAGCAGCCTGGGCCGCCTTCGGGCCCCTGAAGGAAGCCACCGACCAACTGACGGACCCGGAGCTTCGTGCCCACCTGTTCGACTCAACCGTTCTCCCGGCGCTCTGTTACGCAGCTGAGACTTGGGCCGACACTGTAGCCACGTCGAAAGCTTTACGGACCACCCACAGAGCGCTCGAGCGCAGTCTTCTGAAGATGACCCGACGCAAGCAACATCTAGTCGGACTTCGCAGCACGGATATGAGAAGAATGTCCCGTCTTCGTGACCCAGCGGAATACGTCGCGAAAGCCAAACACCGATGGGCCGGTCACATAATGAGAAGAACAGACGACAGATGGACACTAAGAACATCGGAGTGGATTCCTCGCGAAGCCAAACGTCCCCGAGGAAGACCTCCAACGAGATGGGCAGACGTGTTCGTGGAACGGATGGACCAGCTGAGAAATCAGCTGGATACGATTTTTGCACCTGGAACTCGTGGACGCAGCCACCGACGTCAGCCAAGAAGATCGTGGATGTCAGAAGCGAGGGACAGGGAAAAATGGAAACTTCTGAGCTGGGGCCCGCACGTCACGTGAAGCCGGGCCATCTAAGTATCTAAGTAAGTAAGTAGAAGATTTGTAAAACCTAATATTAGGTTTGAAGATCAAGCGAGGAGTTGGGAGCCGGGACTATCCAGGTCGGGAGCGCTATCTAGAAGCTCCGCAAATAGTACGCTCCAGGACCAAATCACCACCAGAATAAATGCAGATTGGTCGAACTCATTAGTTTGATGTAAAGATAAATGGTATTTTTTTCAGGCATTTCTTCAAGACAACTTCTTCTTACAAAGTAATTGTTACATATTGTCAGTAGGGAAAAAACTTTCCAAAAATCTAGAAGGAGAATTCTTTGATTTTATTTATAACAATCTTTGACAGCTTTTTGGAGCTTTCGTAGAATAAGGCACGAAAGAGCTGAAAAACATAAAACTTCGAAAGACTTGATCGTTTCGCATCCACGATTGAATTGTATAGATGTTATAGTTTACTGTCAGGGTGCTACATCATCTATGCGCGCCACATCATCTCCCTAAAGAATAAACTCGAATGTTTACTGTCAGGGTTGCCTAGCAATTGTTAATCTATACTTATATAAAGCTGAGTATTGGTAAATTGTTAGTTTTTGCCTTCATTACAGAACTTTCTTGCATGTCGATCGATTAGCGCCATACTTTGCACACATATTTCGACACCGGTCCAACCGGTAGGCTGCTTTTCGCGGCCCTAATCCTATTGATTTTTCAATTTTGAAGAAAAATGCATTTCTATCAACTGCTATCAGAGTTCTTTCAACTTTCGCGTAAACAATAATGTTAGAACTCATTTATTTTACGATGAGGGAAAGCGGTAATTGAAGGCTGTGAGTCAGTTGGTGTCTATCCTGCGCTACTCGAGAAAAAGAAGAAAGCCAAAATGCAAAAAAGTTGAGCCTTCAAAGTTGACACCATATCTGTCTTTGCTGAACCAGTTAAGTCACGAGTGCGGGCGAAGCCGTGCAAACCAACTTGTTAACCCATTGACGACGATGTGTACCACGGTGGCCCACGCAGTTTTTGCCGCTAGGGACGATGTGGACCACCGGTGGCCCACACCCCTTGCAAACTCATATACTTTCCAGATCTAACATTTTTTCCACAGTTCAGTATTTCTTCCAATTTTTTGCACTCTTGGAACCTGAAGACCTTTTCGTCCAAAGAGGTGACTGTAGTTATTACAAAACAACTTTACATTTCGTGAATGATCACAAAACTTTCCCACGCCGAAAATGTTGTGCAGAATCACGTCGTCCCACAGCACCGCCACGCAAAATTAGGCGTCGTCGTTAAATAAATGTTAACTCGAATAAACTCGAGCACTACGGTTTTTGTCTTACTTTCCTTTTCTTTCAACATCTTTGAGCAAACTTAATAAAGTTATTATGGCTATGCCTTCTTCTGGTTTTTTCTTTGTCTTCATTTCAAACATATTCGATTATAACAAAAGATTTCAAGAATTGAAGTCTTCACTGTCAGAAGAAGAATCTTTCGCGCAACCGCCGATGTCCAAAGGACAGTGCGATGGACGCGGAAATTCCAATCGCTCCTCCTGCTCCGCCATTTGCGGTTCTGCGGCATTTTTATCTTCTTCCTGCAGCCCATCCTGCTTCGGTTGCTGTGCAGCTTGTGCTGTTTCTGCCACCTGTTCCTGTTGAAGTTGCTCAGCATCATGCCCTTGTCCTTCGTGATGCTCGTCCCCTTGTCCTTCGTGATGCTGTTCTCTTTGCGAATCATTTTCTTCTTGTTTCTCCTGCAGTTCTTGCTCTGGTCTCTCAGGGCAATCAGCTGGAGAAAATACGAGATTTCAAAATAGAGGTTCTCCACATTATGCAAATTCACTAAATTATTATGTTGTTTAAAAAATAAATTGTCGTTTCTAGATGTAACAGATAGGTACTAGGGAAGAACAAACTAAGGAGAGTTGGAAGGTCAACTCTATTTGCTTAAAAGGTATTTTTTCATGGCGAAATGGTGCAAGAGAGCGAAAATGCCGGATTTTTTCGTCGAATTCCGGGGAAATCACGTCCTAGGAAACAAATTGAAATTGGGCGTAAAATGCACGAATCCTAAGTGCATAAAATCTCAATATTTTCAACCATGTGCATGGCCAAAGATAGACGAATTAAAGCGATCTGGACCACCCAAAAAGTAACCTCCGCGCGCAAATGTCTGGTTCTTCTCACAATTTCGGCTATAGAAATTCCCAAACATCACATCACAATTTTGATTTGGTTTGCCGTATAACCAAACTATGGTAACGACCAAATTACTTGTATGTGCACTGACTACAGTTTGAAATGGAACTTGGATCAAGCGGTTTTTAGAAGCTTAGCTATATAATGTCATGACTATTTTCCATCGCTATAAAAAATTCTATATGAAGTATGTAATAGTACTGGTTTGAAGCTACCCGATAAAAAATCACAGCTAAATAGCAGTTACCTGAATCGTTATAGAGCCACGTAGTGTTGTAGGCTTCCTACTAAGACAGGTATCAGGAACCAGAAGATAAAAAAACACGTTTTTTAATTTTCAAGCAAAGCGAGAAAAGACAGTATTTTGACAGTAATACATGACATTTTCGACTGGCATCGATTTTTGAGGACTATTTTTCCAACGATATGATATTGAGAATGTTTCTTGTCATATAGCTTACAGGACACATAACATCATGATCTATTAGGTTGGTGCAAAAGTTCTTGCGCACAATATTCAAAAATTCATAACTTCCGATTTTTCAACCAATTTGGCCGCCTTTATTTTTGTATGAAAGAGTAACTCATGCTCTTCATAATGGCATCTTAGCTGCTTGCTAATGTTCATCTGTTTCATAGATACGAGCGATAGAAGAAAATTGGTCAAAATTTGAATTTTCTGTGTAGGGTCATAAAAAATCGGAAACTTGCAAGAAAAATCGGAGCAGTCAGTATTGTAGGTCCTTTTACCAGCTCTTTCGATTTTCGAGCAAGCAATACAAAAGGGCGATTTTGATTTATTTTGGCATTTTTCAGGAAAATCATAACTTTTGCTAGAGACGCTCAATCGACGCAAACTTTGCACCATTAGAAAGAGCTGGTAAAAGGACCTACAATACTGACTGCTCCGATTTTTCTTGCAAGTTTCCGATTTTTTATGACCCTACACAGATAATTCAAATTTTGGCCAATTTTCTTCTATCGCTCGTATCTATGAAACAGATGATCATTAGCAAGCAGCTAAAATGCCATTTTGAAGAGCATGAGTTACTCTTTCATAAAAAAATAAAAGCGGCCAAATTGGTTGAAAAAATCGGAGGTTATGAATTTTTGAAAATCGTGCGCAAGAACTTTTGCACCAACTTAATATATAAATACTTTTTAAAGTCTTAGGAGGAGTTATTATGTGAACAGAGCGATTTGACCGAATCTATAACATGCTATCCAAAAGGTTTAACACATTATAGACTACATCTGACAATTTGCGGCCAATCGTCTTTTTTTCAGGCAAACCTTCGCCTGTAATTGTTGAAAAAGTAGGATTTTTAGCCACGGCCAGAAAAAAGAATGCATTGTAAATATAACAAGCAAACATACGAACCTGTTGTAAAAATGGAGCATCCTACGTCCTCATAGCCACTATAACAAGAAGCAAAGCAGTCAACTCCAATTATTTTTACGTCCTGTAAATCTCTCACATTGTGTGGGTGATTTATTTCTATCATATCAATTTCGATCGAAGGATTATGTTTCAATCAATCTTTCTTTACCATACAGAATATAAATTTTGGTGTTCTTGATCTTTGGCAAAAGTTAGCTACCTGTTAAACAAAAATACTAGACGGATAATTTTTTGGAATTACGTTTCAAAAATTTTTCAGTACGAAATGCGACAATTCAGGGGACTTCCCGAGGCAAAACAACATGTCAAACTTTTCGAAGGCTTCAGTTGTGTCGTACGGAGGTGAATGAAGGCGAAAAAGGAAATTTTCCGATGACAATGACGTCAAAAGTAACGCACTCAGAAGAATCCACAGAAATACAGAAGTTTTCCAAGACTTAGGCATGAGCAAACTTTAAAACTTCGCAATATCTCTTGACAACGTTTACCTCCTTTCCTAGGTGTCATATGTGATCACTGTATTCTAATCAGGATCAAGCGTGGTGTGTTGTTGCATGCCACAACGAGTCTTAAAGGCGCCGTACACCCAAACTGAGGTTGGTGAGATTATGATACCTAGCAGATTCGGGGCCCTCAACTGTATGATTGCCCAACTCGCGCTGCCTGAAGTTGCTTCCGAACCGAGAAAATTGCTTCGGAAATCGCTTCAGGCCGCGTTCGCGACGTGGCTCCTCCCCTTTCGGAGTGGGCGTGACGTTCGTCCCTCCCATCCGTGCGCGCCCAACCAATCACCGTACGAAAAAATCGCTCTGCGGGTTCTGAAAACGGGGGTTTTTGTGGTTTTCGCGGATTTTCAACTTGGTATTCAGAATCAGGGGAATGAGAAGGCCCTGGAACGGCAAAAACATGGAGGTCGAGGTTGGGTGGACGGTGGGGTCAGAGAGGGAAGAGAGTGCTAATCGGGGCTCCATGAGGTCGCTTTTACCATTTTTCACAAACGAAGTCCCCATAGAATTCGCCGCAAAAAATACGACATCACCTATGACACGATTATGGATCAATGCGAATAACGAAATGATGGAGCAAAACATAAAAACAGTATTACACAGACGAAAAAAAACTAAAGATGTTCGTATTCTTCGAATCCGGCATGCTGTGTCTAAAGCCTGCTCCTGGAGGGCTGTAATTAGGCGAGGAAGAGGGGTTTAGGGAAATTTAAAACTCAATTGTAGGGTTTTTGATGTAGAACAAAGCTTTGTTAAATATATTAGGTCGTTCTGAAAATAATGTCGCTTTTTTTAAATGAACGCCACATTTCATAGAATCAATATTTTTGAGAGATCTTAGGAGCATTCGATGCAGCATTTTATCCTCTTTCTAATGGTAGCAAATTCATTGCACAATATCTGATGAGCTCTCGAATAATTACCAAAATCTGCGACTCATGCTTTTTGCCATGGTCAAGTTCGGCTACTTTTCTAAATTTTTTTACCTATTCTCCGAAGAAGTACAAGTGACAGGTAGAAAGAGCAAATTCTCTAGAACACAGGGTAAATTTTTCTTTTCTTTAGCTTGCTTCTTAGAGGTTCTGGAACCAATTTTTCAATGCCATCAAATTCCATATTTGGTCAACTCAAACCTCACAGAACAACAACCGGCAAGAAACTCGGGTGCCATTCGACGCAGCTTTTTCTCCTCTTTCTACCAGTTGTTTTTTGTTTCCGATTCATCAAGTTGTCCGGGATAAAATCATCATAATGCAGGTTTTCCAGGCCGCCCGAGGCTGTACCCGGCATTTTCGAAAGTTGCTAGTCTGAAGCGGTAAATGCTCGTTTGGTTTGGAAAATTAGTGTCAAACCTTAATCTGTCTTTGTGAGTTTCAGAATCCAAAGATTTATTGGTGTTTGATGCATTTGTGTCTGAGACGAGTCTGCTGAAATTCGGTGGTTCCATCAAAAAATCTATACAAAAATTATGACGAGCTCTGGAAAGTAGGAAAAAGCTGTGCTGTTTCCTGTAGAGTTTGCTCTATCCATCCATTACTTGGACTCCTTCCGAAGGTTGTTATAAAAATTTAGAAAATTGTGAAACTTGGCCTTCTCAAAAAGCATGGGTCGCAGATTTTAATAGTTTTTTGAAAGGTTATTGGATTTTCTGCAGTGGTTATATAACCATTAGAAAGAGAATGAAATGCTGCATCAAAGGCTGCCAGAACCTCTTACACATCTTTGTTCCACGAGATGTGGCGTTCATTTGAAAAAAGCGACATTGCTTTCGGAACGACCTAACATGAGATAATTTTGTAAAGGAAGGAATACTTTTTCTTTTCACAGCCACCTCAGGTGGTCGTCCAGATGGCTGGAAAGCCACCTAATTCCGAAAAAAGTTTGCCACTTCAATTCACATAATTTTTTCATAATTTTTTGGAACATAGTCCTAACTCCCTATTGCCTATCTAAGCACCAATTTTGGTGTCATTTCATTTTCTGTTCGCTGTAAACAAATCTTTTGTTTTTTCGGGGCAGATGAGTTCGCGCGCTTACTCGGAAAACATGTTGATACAGAATATTTCGGTTTTTGCAGGAATGAGGTGAATGACAGGAATGACGACTTGCGTCCTCCATAGAAGATGGAAGGTGACATAAAGGGAGAAGGCGAGTTTTACCAATTTCGATGGGTTTGCAGTGAATGGGCAAGATTTTGTCTGCCAGACCTCGGCGAGCTTTTGCTCCACATGACTAAACTCAAAAGCAAAGCACCAGAAATAGCCCATTCCAATGTTTTTGTTTAAGCAAAATTTTTAGGAAGAGCGGGAAGGATTAGCCAAAAGCAGAAAATTCAAAATTCAAAATTTAACGGGACCTGCTAAAGCTAATGGTTTAAATTTCGCGGCATCGATTGAGAAGTACGAGTGCTGCTTAATAGAAATTTGGAAATATTTGTAAAGAATCATGTTGTCAACGGCCACTCAAGTAAATTTGCTAGCATAGCTCATTTCCCTATACTGCCTTGAGTTCTTTCTTTATATATTTACATCTTGTGAATTGCTTGCAGTCGCTTTAAAAGTCTGCAAAATTTTGATCGACCTCCATATACGAGAAAGCAACTAAAGCAATAGGTTATCGTAGCCTGTCAAAATTCCTGCTTTCAGCAAGATGAAAAAGAAATGTGCAACTTTTCGTATAGAAAGACTACTAATTATAAAAAAACGGACCTTAGGGCATCGTGCATCCAAAGCTTTTATGATGTCGTGCGCTACTTCACTCACGTTTCTCCATGTTCCTGATGTATAATCGATATCTCCGGAAGGAAGGGTAAGAGGGTCAGTTCTGGAATGTGACAAGCACTACAAGAACAGCGTACTACAAAGCTCACTTCGAATTAGCAGTGACATAGGCAGTATGCTTTGTAGACGTATCCTCTGTTGTCTGCAATTGAATCAAGGTGGATAAAGCATTTACTTTATGCTCGATAAGCGTGCTCATAGATTCAATATGAACAGTAAACTCACCTGATTTTTTCTGCTGTAACGCGAGAGTATGGTTGAATTCAGAGCTTTCTCGAATTTGTCTTTGACATCCGCTTCACAAGAGTCCGACAACACAAGTCCTTCTTGGGCGATTGATAATTTAAGCAGGCTCTAAATTGCTAGAAAATACATGTAACAACTCGAAGCATTTGGGACCAACCGCAAAAATTGCTAGCCTTACAAACATGGCGACATAAAAGCTGCTTTCCAAAACAGTATTTATATGAACATCGCAAAGAGTTACCAAAATAATTGCTTTAGAAAGTAAATCTACTTTAATCTGTGATTTCAACAGAGGATAGCAAGTGCAGGTAAACAAAACACACTTATCAAAGCCCACCTGTAGGTGGTAGTGAAGGCGCTCTTTCAAATTGCACTGGCCTGTATTAATGTTCTACAAGTGCACTAATGTACAACGCTTTAGTTTTGAAAATGACTTTACGAGAGCGACATCACAGCAACAACGCTATAACGCTAAAATCCTTTGAATTGAAAATACTTCCGCTTCTACTTAGTGGCACTCAACTAATTTAACTTTCTTCACTTCCCTATTGCTTATGGTGTCTCGAAGTTTGCCCTTATGCATTGGTAAATGAGTTAAAGACTTTTTTTGCAAATGATTTTCAAACGAACGTACTTGTTTTCGAACCATTTAAATTTGAGGTTTCGTTTGCAGCAAAAAAAATAGCCATGCTCAACCCAACCAAGCGCTCGATTTAGATTTGTCGATAATTTTATTCTGGTCTAACTTCTCAATAAAACTAAAGGTAGATCAAGTTCTGGCTTTTTTAAAGGTCAAGGTAATTTCTTAAGCAAATGTAAAGTTACCCTATGCTGCAATGAGCACTAGTTCAACAGCATATGCAGAGAAGTTTTGCGAGTTACTCTCTGTTTCATCTTATTCCGCAGACGCGGTCCGATATCTAGACTTTCTTTAAGATTAGTAAGGGGTGAGGATCTGGATAATTTGCAGGTTGTCGTGTACAGTCTCCTGCCCCCCCCCCCCATGTTGAGTTCAAAAGAGAAAAATTATAGAAGTTGTATCACTTAGGTTGATCTAATATTCTCTTTATAAGTATTTCATATATCACATCGTGCTCTAATTCGACGCAGTGATGTACACCACTGCTCATAATTCTTTGAAAAAAAAATCGCCGCACTCTGGCAGAGTGCTGCAGAGTGCGTCGAAGTGCACTGGAGTGTGGGCAGAGGAGCGCGCCGTTCAGCATTGAAGTGCGCCGGAATCCGCGTCGCAGTGCCACATCTCACTTCAGAATGGACAAATTCCAAATCCAAGGACATCGCTCGACTCAGCTCGCTGAGGGGCATCGTCTGATTTACAGAAGTACCGCAGTTTGGCATGGTATAGTAGATATACGGTAGGCAGTAAGTTCCCACTTTCCAGGTTTTTTCTTAGATGGATTACTCATTGTGCTGAAAACAGCATTTATATTGATTTGTTGTTAGTGGCATATTGTGTACTGTAGGAGTACGGTAAGAACTTTTTCTGCTCATTTTATTGTAAAATCTGCTCAAGCTGTCTGATGCGCTGATTGTGATTATTACATTCATTTGCCACTCGAAGCACAGCGCGCAGATATATCTACAGTCTAAGATCAATTTATTTGTGTTCAAAACGTTGCTTATGGTTGCTTCTACGTGCTCGTTCTAACCAGAGAAGGTTCTCAAGTCGCACTTACAATCTGAAATGAAATGGTATCCTTGAATGCGTTTTGATGGGTTGACCCCACTACCTCCTTTTATACTTTTTTGAACGTCTCTAAAAGAAGTTATAGACTTTGAATATCCAAACTTCGCAAACAATTAATACTATAGTCAAGAATTGCGGTCAAAAGACAATTATTTATGGCTTCATTAAATGTTTTCTTTTTTTGTAGCCAGTACAAAACACTCATACTTTTCTCAGAGACTTCAGTAGCTTTGGAAGGCAGGTTTGGGATCATCTTAACAAGACACATCTAATGATATGCATTTTACTCAAAATCGCCTGGCATCATTCCTGGGGCCGTTTTCTTATAGCATCAGCTAATTTCGTCATGACGTTATGCTGTAACAGTGCAGTTGATGTTGCTACTTAGCGCTAACGTGATTTAGGTGTGTACAATAAATTTTTTGTGAGCATGTGCTTTCACCATAGCATTTCGCAGCGCGCATTACCTTAAAAGGCTTTAGCAAGTATTTTCTAATAGAGCTAAGTTTACATAACATCACCGACCAAAGACCATTCGGAGGTTCTTCTTCAAAGCTGAGAGAAAGAGTGGTGAATTTTGGGAATTGCAAGGTCTAGGAATCCACTCATCGTAAGTCTATAGTAGCATCCTTAAAGCGAATTTGGCATCAGTAGTTTGATCTGCATGCCACATTGCCCACATAAGCTGAGTTTCGCGTCGATCTGAGGTTCTTACTTACGTTCTGCAGACGGGCTTTTGTAAGGGCGCAACTCAATGCTTCTTGTAGATAGACGGCTTAGGCATCTATCGATGGAGGAACTTCTCGAGTTTTTAGCAGCATACAAAAAGCGCAAAAATTCCTTTGCTGTGAGTGGCGTAATTGCTTAACAAAATTCGGAAAAATCCATTTTTATCTGAAAACTATCTACCATAGCCCCTGCAGTAAGAAGCTGTCTTGCAAATCAGACATGATTATCATGATCAGCAGGTCGGATGATAACCTTTCTTGGCAGATTTTCTCAAAAATTTGGAGCATTTGATTTTTTTTTCGTTCCTCGCTCTTAAGCTTGTCGTAAGTTTTGGTTGAGATATAAATGGTAGAGGAACGAACATCGCAAATAGGCACTGCCTTCGCGGGCTACTAATCCTCTCATCTTCGCTTTGTACATCGTGTTGTTCTCTGCTCGATATCAATAATCTTAATGTGACCAAAAACTTTTCTTATAAAGGTTTTAGGATCCACTGCTTACGAAAAGCTTAGCTGTTCTGCACTAAAGGGGTCTTACAGTAAAGTTAGAGTAAGCGAGATCTAGCTAATTCACGCAATTTCGCAGGTTTGCCTGCTTTTCTCGCCCGTCTGCTGACGAACTTGCCTGCGCATTTTTGTGGGTTAGAGTTTCTGTGAAAAGTGCCGAATTTTGGAGAAAGCCGTCAGGATCGTTTTGTGCGAAATGAATTTGATATCTGTAATTAGCGTGTCACGCACTCACAAGACATTTCTCTAACTGCGCGTTTTTCAGGTTTGAGATGAAAACATGGAAATGTGAATTCGTAAGCTCATAACGGGAGATAGTGCAGAAGAGCACGTGAGTAAAGCATGGTCCGACTGAACTGTTCACAGGAACCTTAACCTACAAAAATGCGCAGGCAAGTTTTCTTCAGAGTCGGGCGAGAAGAGCAGGCAAACTTGCGAAATTGCGTAACTTAGCTAGATCTCGCCTACTGTAACTTTACTGTAAAGTCCTTTTGTGCAGAATAACTAAGCTTTTCGTAAGCAGAGGTCCTAAAAACTTTGTGAGCAAAGTTTTCGCTCGAATTAAGATCATTGATATCGAGCAGAGGACAACACGATGCACAACGACGTAAGAGGAAAGGATTAGTAGCCTGCAAAGGCGGTGCCTATTTGAGGTGTTCGTTCCTCACCCACTGATATCTCAACCAAAATTGCGGCAAGCATAAGAGCGACGAATGAGAAAAAAAGCTCCAATTTTTTGAGAAAGTCTGACCAGAAGGGTCATCATCCGACCTGCTGATCATGATAATCACGTCTGATTGGCACCGTCCGTCCAGAATTTCGTCTTCCATGTTTTGGTTGTTTCGGGGCCTTCTCATGCTCCTAATTCGAAGTCGAGAATCCGCAAAAACCGCGACACCCGATTCGCAGAACCCGCAGGCCCGTTCTTCGGAACCGTGATTGGTTGAGCGAGCACTGGTGGGTGGGCGGAGAAGGGCGGTGCCAACTTGGGGTTCTCATGCCTTTTCGCTATCCCGACCAGCAAACCATCGTTTATGCAGCAACCTTTCATTTGGTCTAGGAAAAATACGGCTTTTGGAGGAGATTAATGCGGAATGCGCGGAGTGCGGCATAAGTGCGAGATGGGAGCGAAATGAATGCTGCCTTCCAAGGGCATGCTTAGAGAAGCGCAGTCTTTGCATAAACCACGCGCCGCCATAATCAGCGCGAACTTCAACTGAACCGCGAAGGACTGAACCGCACTTTTCTGTCATTTCCATGCTTACACTACTGCGTTGAAGTATCAAAGTCATCGCCCACTCACACTACAACGTCAACAGATAACGATGTTAAAACGATTTGAAAGTTTCGCTTCCTTTGAACCTGGGCATAATTCGTATAGTAGAAGTGCTTCTGTGCCAAACAGGTTTGTTAATAGAAGTGATGGTCTTGGCGGATAGAATAGATTTTATCCGTCAAGACCATCACTTCCGGTGCGGAACCCCAAAAAGCGGTGTTCACAGGGCCTCTGAGGAAGACGAAAGGCGTCGAAACGTTAGGCCGTGATTGGAAATAAAGAACACCTAACAAACCTGTTTGGCACAGAAGCACTTCTACTATACGATGTTAAAACGATTAACACAAGGTAAATAGTATAGTAAATACATGAACAAATAAAGGCACATTATGAAGATGGGGTTGCGACTGTTAGAATGATGTTATATGAAATGAAGGTATAGGTAAATATGCGATGGCAGATTTCAGATAAGCATTGTGTGTGTGATTAATCGTCCTTCTCTCAACTGCTACTTTATGGCAACATGCAACAGCACGTTGCCAACGTGCTGTTCATTAGCCTCTCAACTAGCATGTTCTTAAATGTTGCCAACATAACAAGCCATCCTGTTGCAAGTCAGCGGCGTTGAGAGAGGTAATGACAATTGTGGGCGGCGGACAATACTTTGTTGCACATTCAATGCTCTTGTTTCATATGTTTCTTGTTCTATCATTGTTATCTATTGCCGTTGTAGTGTATGAGCATTTGATAGCGTAGAAGTGTAAGCAAGGAAACGGAAAAGGGTAAAGCTCAGTTTTCGAACTCAATTGAAGTTCGCACATCTCGCGCGGGTTCCCATGATTTGTTTACGATGGAGTGGTAGTCATCCAAAAAAACCCCGCTTCGCGCCTACCTCGCACTCATGCTGCAGACATTTCGCACATTCCTGCATCACTTCCCCGAGAAATCGTCATGTTTCTAAATCA